ACGGTCGCCACGAGCGACGACGGGCTTCTCGATCAGCGAGCATCGTCGTTCTAGGAACTCTAGATCCAGGACCGAAGTAGGAACAACACGATCAACGCGCGAAAACGCGTCGGTAAAAGACCGTTGCCACGGCTGCCGCGGTCACGCACCGTCTAACGGATTTCTAGATACGTATGACCTCTGATCATTCGCCCCGTTGGTTCACGGAGAGAAGAAATTCACGGATTCGTCGACCCGCGACGATCTCGAGACCGTCGCGCGTCGAACGAGCGAAAATAGAATTCGAGAGGCCTCGAAACTGACTCTCGAGGTCTCTCCAAAGGATTCGTTTCATTCTTACTGCTGAGACATTAGTGTTTTCGCGGGTGACCACGCTTGGACGCCTGTGTTCGAATCGACGCGACGTACAAGACGATAAACGACGTTTCCGTCGGTTCGTCGTCCGTGTACGTCGTCCTTTACACGTTGTCAGAGTTACCGATCATGTCGTCGGCTTTCCTCTTGACACCACGGTCTTCAGGATGTTGCTGCTGCTGTTGCTGCTGCTGTTGCTGCTGCTGCTGCTGCTGCTGCTGATGGTAATGAAGACCGATCCCAGACGAACCTTGTTGCTGCTGTTGATCGTTCAGCGTCGCCGAACGCTCGGCCGATTGAATGGACGGCTGATTGAGGCGTTCAGCTTGCTGCTGCTGCAGGTTCGACTGTTCCGACGTCCAAGGGGTCCACTCGTCTCAGTAGTAACTGAATTTTCATGGTTGCTGACTGTTCTGTTGATTGACCACGTGCTGAATGGTGAAACTCAAAGCTCGAGGATCACCGTGAAGCCTCAGGGCCTGTTCCAGTCGCTGTTCTTGTAATCTCAGCGCTTCCCCTGTGAAACGCCTTGCTATTAACACCCTTTCGATTCGCTGGAGCGAACTCTAAGCTCGATAGACTTACCGAGGTCAGGCGGTAAGGTGTCCTGTTGAGACATCTGTTGGTTCGTGTGATGTCCAGGCATTCCAGAGGCGTTGCCACCGTTGTGCTGGCCCAGGTGATGTCTCACGTCTGCGCCAACCGCGGAACTGGCCGCTGCCGCTGCCGCTTGCGATACCTGTTTACAAAACGACAAGAATCGTAAGTTTCTCGTGGTGGGTTAATTTTCAGATGAACTTACAGCCAGTCTGAGCGCAGCTTCCGCCTGAGAACGCAACAGAGCTTCCGCTTGGTGCATTCTCAACGTCTGTTCTGGTCCGGTTGCTTGCACACCTTGCTGTTGAGGTCCCGTCGATCCTTGCGCGCCACCGCTCATGTCGCCGTTGTTTCCCATTCTCATCGCCGCCGCCAAGGACGCCATGTCCACCGGCGACAAATTCGGCGATACAGAATTTTGTAAACCTGTGGAATCGCCGTTTTTTGAAGTTCGTAACGACGTATTCGATCGTCCTCGAACGAATCAGTTTGAACCATGGATGAGAAAAATGTTTACGACGGTAAAAATGTAATTGTACATGGATGCTTTATCGAGAATAATTAGAACGAATCGGTCGTGTCCGTCGTCGCTCGCGACGTCGCGTCTCTCGATAAGACTTCGCTATCGACGGCCTTGAACGGATATCTCGGCAATTCCGTTGACCGATCGATTCAGGAAAAGCAGATTAGAGAGGGAGAGAGAGGAGATTCTTACCCGCTGACACTGCGGCGGCCATTACTGCCATGCGTTGCTGTTGCGACTGCATCTCGTCGTGGTATTGTTGCGCGGAGGCTGGTTGGCTTCCCGCTCGTAGCATGTCGCTCAGCTTGTTGCCGCTCGGCCCCGGCGACGCCATGTTGTTGTTGTTGTTATTGTTGTTGTTGTTGAGTAGACCGGTACCTACGCAAAAGTCTGCTCACGTTAGTACGCTCGACGGACAACGGACAGGCGCGGGTAAAGTCGTCGCCTACGGACTACGTGGACTAATCGGCGTTGCTCGTTATCGTCGGACAATGCGCTAGTATAATACAGTACATACGTGTACGTAAAGACGATGAGAAAAAAATGACGGAGTGAGCCGAACGTTCGTACGACGAAATTACTCACAACAGGAGTTCGTAGATGATTTATTTGACTCAGATCAAGCGTAATAGTGTTTACTACAATAACTGTCGGTGTGTTTCGAAGCTCGGTGGTTACTTAGATCGCTAGTACTTCCATACGATAATACAATTACAGCGAACTAAAACGTTGTGGTACGAAAGAAAGGTCGCTTCGGTGTTAAGATAGTAGGTTATTCTTTCAAGACATATTCACGACACTCTAATCGTTATTCCAGACGGACCATTTTCAAGAACAAGATCGGAGCGTACCAGGTTCACTACCGGCCGACGATAGTCTTCCGTTTCCGCTGCTGCTGTCCGAGTGAGCCGACGGCGAAGGGCACATCGGTGGTTGTTGCAAATTTTGTGGTCCGCCCGATTGGCTTCCCAACACACCCAATCCCGCACCTGTACACGAAAATCGTATGTATCGTTACGATCGTTGCCAGCAGCCGATCGCGATGCGACGGACCGAGAAAATCGACGGCTCGTTTATCATACCTAAACTCGAAGATGCCAGGATCTCTCTTTCCCGCCTCTCGGCGGCGGCGCGACTTAAAACGTATTGCGCCGCAAACTGATGCTTCGGGTCCATTCTCATGTGCTCCATGTGACTCAACAAACCTTAACAGTAAAGCAGACCAGAGTCTCGAGAGAGTTTCGGTTAGTCTTGACGGTGCGTAGGATGAACGAGTTAATTCGATAGAGCGCGCGTCGAAACGAAATCAACGAGATCGCGAAGATACGGTCGGATACCGGAAGAAGGATCGCGTGGACGAGATCGCGCGTTCGAGTAATAAGAGGCTTCGAAAAATAAAAAGTCGAATAAGAGGAAGACGAATAAGAAGAAGAATATACTTACCGCTCTCGTGGGTGAAGACGGCTTGGCACACCGAGCACGGCCACATCCTGAGGCTCGTGCTAAGTTGACTGGTCTCAGGATGGCAGGCCAGGTGTTTCCTAAGACTACCCTCGTTGACGTAGTGTTTTCCGCACACTGGACACGGGTGGTTGGCGGTCCGTCGCTTCGCTATGTAAACCCCGACAACGGAGGTTGTGCAGTCAGCGGAGGGAACAATAGGGCGACACAATTTCAAGGTCAATGCTAAGCAGGATAAAGCTTCCCAAGGAACGAAAGCCACCTCCTCCATCATCGTTATCATCACCACCACCACCATCATCATCAATTATCATCATCATCATCATCATCATCATCATTATATCATATCATCGTCACGATCGTCATATCACCATCGTCATTATCATCCTTCTTTGCCTTTTTTTTTCATTATTATCATCACTATCATCTTCATCATCATCATCATTCTCCTCTTTTTTTCCTCTTTCGCCTCCTCCTTCTCTTCTACCTTCTCCTCCACCTCCACCTTATTTCTCACGCATTCGCGTGCACAGACGCGCGTACGTACGTCGACATTCCAGTCGACCTCGAAGGCGAAGGGAGAATCCTTGCAGACATTTCCCGCCTCTCGGCGGCGGCGCGACTTAAAACGTATTGCGCCGCAAACTGATGCTTCGGGTCCATTCTCATGTGCTCCATGTGACTCAACAAACCTTAACAGTAAAGCAGACCAGAGTCTCGAGAGAGTTTCGGTTAGTCTTGACGGTGCGTAGGATGAACGAGTTAATTCGATAGAGCGCGCGTCGAAACGAAATCAACGAGATCGCGAAGATACGGTCGGATACCGGAAGAAGGATCGCGTGGACGAGATCGCGCGTTCGAGTAATAAGAGGCTTCGAAAAATAAAAAGTCGAATAAGAGGAAGACGAATAAGAAGAAGAATATACTTACCGCTCTCGTGGGTGAAGACGGCTTGGCACACCGAGCACGGCCACATCCTGAGGCTCGTGCTAAGTTGACTGGTCTCAGGATGGCAGGCCAGGTGTTTCCTAAGACTACCCTCGTTGACGTAGTGTTTTCCGCACACTGGACACGGGTGGTTGGCGGTCCGTCGCTTCGCTATGTAAACCCCGACAACGGAGGTTGTGCAGTCAGCGGAGGGAACAATAGGGCGACACAATTTCAAGGTCAATGCTAAGCAGGATAAAGCTTCCCAAGGAACGAAAGCCACCTCCTCCATCATCGTTATCATCACCACCACCACCATCATCATCAATTATCATCATCATCATCATCATCATCATCATTATATCATATCATCGTCACGATCGTCATATCACCATCGTCATTATCATCCTTCTTTGCCTTTTTTTTTCATTATTATCATCACTATCATCTTCATCATCATCATCATTCTCCTCTTTTTTTCCTCTTTCGCCTCCTCCTTCTCTTCTACCTTCTCCTCCACCTCCACCTTATTTCTCACGCATTCGCGTGCACAGACGCGCGTACGTACGTCGACATTCCAGTCGACCTCGAAGGCGAAGGGAGAATCCTTGCAGACACGGATAGCCGAGGACCAGGAGAGCACTGACCTCGGACTCGCCGAGCGCTGCTTCTGCCGTTGCTGACTCCCTTTCACGAGCGAGGTCGTCGGCCCAAAAACCAAGATGCACACGCACGTACGCGCGCTCGTTGCACGCTTATAGACGCACAAAGAAAAGTTCGACGAATCTCTGTATTTTTTATTCTCTATTTCTGTTTCTCTCGCAGTCTTTTTCCCTTTTCCTCCCTCTCGCTCACTCCCCTTTTTCATTATTTTCTCCCACATTGTTCGTTTAGTTTGCTTCTTTTCCCTCTGTCTCTTCGTTTCTCTCCCTTTCCGTTCATTTATTTTTTTTTTTAGTTACTTTTTTTTTCATTCGTTCGTTTTCTCTTCGAAGGGATCGAATCGTCCAAACGGACGAAGGGAAATTATGCGTTTAAAGATGCATTCGGACGAAAGTTTACTTACACCTTTCTCTCGTTTTACTTGAACACTTTACACCATCCCTAGGAGAAACGTACCAGAACGAGCCTGGCACCCGTTCTTTTCCGTCTAGTCGTGAAAAACGATGGAGGAAACGAGACGCGACGCGTCGAAAAACGGCATGCGGTTTAAATCAAGAGATTCTCATTCGATTCGGCGCCAGGCAGCGCTTGTCGATTCTTCTTCTCTGTACGTCTATCCATACGTATCGCCCACACACTTGACATAACACGCACAAAAGTCGAACGAAACACCCTTCTTAAAGCACCGGTATTGTATTAGCGAATAGTAGTACGCAAGTATTAGTCGGCGAGTGCGCTAAGTGCTACACCCCCTTATTCCCGTTCAGCGAAACAGTACGAAGAAAGTGACAGGACAATGTGTGCATATCGCCCGCGCCAAAGCAAGTTCTTAGGTGGGGGATGTGAAACGTACTTAAATGCTAAAGGACGAACCACCCCTCGTATCCCGACGAGTGGTCCTTTCCAACTCTCTCTCTTCCCTTCATTTTCTCCATCTCGTTTTCTCGCCCTTTCGTTCCTTTCCTCGAGCAAACACGCGCACAAGCAGCAGACATACACGCAGACAAGCACTTTCACCTTCTCGTTCGTTCTTTACACTCTCTTAGTCTTATTCGCAATTAAGAAGACACCCTCGTTACGTCTATCTCCGTTCTTTCTTTCTCCTCGAAGGAATTTTCGCGAGAAACCCTCGTTAGCTGGTGTTAGAAAGTGGGGGTAACGGACGGAATCCCTGGCAAAAGTCGGAAACCACGAGGAGGAATCGTAACGAATCGTAATCCGCGTCGTCGCGTAACCTCTCGATAACGCGCCGACGTCGGTTTCCTCCGCGTGGTGTCCGAGAAGCGTAAGAGATTCGATTAACGCGGATCGTGCGTTAGTCGATAGACGGAGAGCGTCGCAGCGTTAGCGTGCAAAAAACAGAGAGAAGATATGTCGTGTACGCGTAGGAGCAAAAGCAAGGGGAGAGAAAGAACGAGACGGACGAAATATCGAGGGGTGCTCGGTTATCGTAGATACTTACTGGCAACGCCGGAAGCATTCGGATCCTTGTGGGTGTGCTTCATGTGCTCCATAAGAGCTTCGCCACCGAGAAAGAGTTTGTGGCAGACGGGACAGCTGGTTGCGTTCGGGCCGCCGATCAAGGCGGC